TTCGAATTATCATCTTTGGTTGTTTCTCTAATTCTAGTTTTAATTTGTGAATTGTGTGGCCACCAATTTACCCTACTATCTTTGCTATGCTTGGAAAAGCCATGTTTAGATTAAAGTAGAATTAGAGAGACCTTGTTTCTGAACCCGTGGCACAGGGAAGGATTTCACGGTTTATGATATGATTATACCTAACAGTCTTGCTTAGTTGAATGTCGTATTTTCTTCGTTCATGATAGATTAAATTCCAAAGGAATATGATATCTTGTGGATAGACAGATAGTATTGTCGGAATATGCTATTTATACAAACGATCCGGTCAACTAGCAACCGTAGATATGTCACGACCCAACTCCCATCGAAGCTGCGACGGCGTCTAACACTACTTGTCAGGCAAGACAACAATCATATAATAACTAAGAAAAAGAATAAACATGGCTTAATAAACTTAATAGAGGAAATATCATAATTATCTGACAGAAACAATAATAATACTGCTATAACCATCCCAAAAATCTGGTGTCAACGTGTACATGAGCACTACTGAGTATCGAAACATAAACCGAATTCGTAGTACAACTATCTGAACAATAGAACACTAATAAGAAAAATAAGGAAAGAGAGTCAAGGTGACGTCATGGAAGCTACCTCGAAGTCTCCAAATACTAGTACCAACTCGGATCTAGCAATCACCACGTCCAGATGTACCTAGATTTGAGTGTAGTATGAGTATAGCCGATCCCATGTACTCAATAAGTAACCGAACTAACCTTGGACTAAAAGCAGTGACGAGATCGGAAGGAGACAGTCAGAATCCAATATAATGACAACACGGAGATAATGATGACAATATCAATAAGGAACTCAAGAAATTATCATGATCAACTCGTTCATTTTATAGAATTTTAGACATGCTTTCAAGTTTAACAATTTAAAGCCCAACACTAATAAGAACATGCCAATTACAGCTAGCATGAGGCATGATACATCTCTATGCCTACATGTCAAGTATACATGTCAAAGAATGATTTCACGGTGATATCGCGAAGTACACTCACTCTCAACATACTCAATCTGTCTACCTCAAATGCCCACTCATCACACACACACAATCACTCAACACTGTAAGGGTGCCTGGCATCAATGCCCCTTACCAAAGCACGTGTAAATATCATTGTGCCTGCGCTCACTACTAGTATATCAGACTCCGAAGAGGCGGATCCTACCCAAGCGCTCATCAAAAGCCAATAAGGCCTGCTACGACATGCAAACCGATCTACATAATAATAGTAATAATAATAAATCCAATATGGCCTGCTGCGGCATCAGCCCGATCGATAATAACACTCTCTATGCGGCTCTAACGTCCACCCCAATCATCAAGCTCTCAAGTCTCAAGGGCTCGCAATCCCATATCACTCATCCCATCAACTCACGTACGGAAACATAATGATAACATGTGATGTAACAATGAATGATAAACAGAGACTGAGATATAATATGCAAATAAATAATCATGACTGAGTGTATAATTATAGTTAAGTCAGATAAGACAAAGCAACAGAAATAGCCTCATCAAGTTTCAATCAAATCACCACATAGCCTTAATATAATGTCTAAAATGAATCACACCTCAATTAATCTAACAAGTAGGAAAAACATGGATAAACAAGGCATGATAGCAACATAGTCCAAAAAGTCCATCCAAATCGTGAATACTCCGGTGTACATCCACACGCCCGTCACCTAGCATGTGCGTCACCCCAACACATCACCAATAACATATTTTTCAGGAATAATTACCCTCAGTTCCAAGTTTAGAAATGTTACTTACCTCAAAACGCGCAAATCAATACTCAAACAAGCCCTTCCCACGCGGATCGACCTACGAACGACTCGAATCTAGTCACAAACAACTTAACATCATCAAATAATACCGTAGGAAACAACTTCAAACAATAAAGTTTCCATCTTTAACAAAATTAAAAAGCCAACCCAAAAATTCAATCCCGGGCCCGCACGCCGGGACCCGTTCAAACTCACAAATTCTGAATACCCATTCATTTACGAGTTCAACCATACCAATTTCATCCAATTCCGACCTTGATTCAACCTTCAAATCCTCAATTTTCACTTTAGGAAGTTCTTACTAAATTCCCTCATTCTTCACATTAATTCACCAATTAAATGCTAAAAACAAAGATGCAATCATGAAATAATAATAAATCCGAGTCAAAAAATACTTACTCCGATCCAAACTGTGAAAATCTCCTCCAAAATCGTCCAAAACCGAGCTCTCTAACTCAACATGTGATATAATAAGTCTAACCCTCGAAATGGGATTTTAAACATCTGCCATGTATTTACCTTTCGCGATCGCGAAGAAAAAAAATTCAAAAACTGCTCAATCCTCTTTTCCGAACGCGACAGCTCAGTCGCGAATGCGACGTCAACACCCTACAGCGACGCGATTGCGGTCCAGGTCTCGCGACCGCAAAGAACAAATGCATGACATCCTCATGCCCTCCATTCCTTCTACGCGAACGCGTCTCATCACTCGTGTTCGCGATGAAAAAATGCCCCAAGGCTTCACAAACGCGTCCAACTCTTCGTGAATGTGAAGAACAAAGACTCACCTGCCAGCAATAACCCTACACGATCGCGATCGCGATCGCGATCGCCACCTACTATTCGCGATCGCAAAGAAGGAAACCAAAAGCACAGATTCAGCAGTTCCTCAAGTCCAAAACATGAACTGACAACCATCCGAAACACCCCGGGACCCCATCCAAACACACCAATAAGTCCTAAAATACAGTACGAACTTACTCGAACCCTCAAATTGCCTCAAGCCACACCAAAATCACAAGTTGCACCCCAAATCAAGCCTAATGAAACTAATGAATTTCCAACTTCTAAAACCAATGTCGAACCATATTAAATCAACTCCGAATGACCCTAAATTTTGCATGCCAATCCCAAATTACACAATGAACCTATTATAACATCTGAAACCAAAATCTGAACCCGGTACCCACAAAGTCATCTCTCGGTCAAATCTCTCAACCCTCGAAACCTTCAAATTTCCAATTTTTGCCAAAAAGCAAACCAACCTACGGACCTCCAAATCAATATCCGGACATACGGCTAAGTCCAAAATCACCGTACGAAGCTATTGGAACCATCAAAACTTTATTCCAGAGTCGTCTACACAAAAGTCAAACTCTGGTCAACTCTTTCAACTTAAGCTTTCAAACTTGGGACTAATAGCCTGTTTGGCCAAGCTTCTTTTGAGACAAAAGCGCTTTTTTTTTTGTCAAAAGTGCTTTTTTTATTTAAAATTAAGGTGTTTGGCCAAGCTTTTGAAAGGAAAAAAGTGCTTTTGGAGAAGCAGAAAAAAGTAGCTTCTCTCCAAAAGCACTTTTTTGAAAAATACTTTTGAGAAAAATACACTTAGAAGCAGTTTTTTAAAGCTTGGCCAAACACCCATTGCTGCTCATATGTGCTTTTCAAATTAATTAGCCAAACACAAACTGCTTCTCACTAAAAGTACTTTTGAGAAAAGCACTTCTCAAAATAAGTTGATTTCTGCAGCTTGGCCAAACGGGCTATAAGTGTCCCAATTCACTCCGAAATTTCCCCGAAACTAATCCAACCACCCCGGCAAGTAACATAACCATAAATGAACATAGAAGAAGCAATAAATAGGGGAACGGGGCTACAATACAAAAAACGACCGACCGGTCGTTGCAAGATAATTCGTATTAACTAGTGTACTTACGAACTCAACAGGATTGATAAACCGACCATGACCCTGGAATTTTCATCTCCTCTAAGTTAAATCCAACAACAAACTTTTGCGCTCTTGTTAGTTTAGTTTATTACTTATTTAATTTTCGCAACAGTAGATTAACAGAAAACCATTATTTTTGATTACCTTGAGTAGTTAATCGATTTTAGTTAGCTCAATTAGCGATTATTCTAAGTCTCTGCGAGTTAGATATTCGACTTTTAAATCACTTTATTACTTGACGGTCACATATACTTGCGTGTACTTAGAACCAACAAACCTTTTCCTAACATGAGGTGATTGAACAAAATCATAGCAGTCATTGATCAGATAGGTCAAGCTGTCATCCCATATAATACATATGTCGGTCATCAGTTTGTATTTAAGCGTGGAAGATATTACTATCTCTTTTTCCAGATAGTTTTAAGAATGTCAGACTCACCAGCATGAACTATGTGTTACTTGGTGATGTCATTTCATTGGTTTCAGTTTATTTTACTATGTTTTTTATGTATTGAAAAAGACCCTCACGTTCTCCAGATATTCTGTCTCCCTTCCCTTATCTCACTTCCAGCTTTCCCTAATTAAGTGTTCGATAGTTGACAGTAACAGGTAACAGTTAATCCTTTTCTCAATGATTGGTGTATATATATAATACTAATTATTATTAATTGTTTAATGGGATGCATAGTGTTATTTTCAAGCCCCTGAAGGGTTGCATAATTTTTTTCATAATTAGTTAACCAAGTCTTATGAGTTGTACTTGGCCCATTGTGGACAAATGACCAATACTTGTCCATTTCATCTTGTTTGACATTAGTTGATTGATGCGAAACTCAGAAAAAGAAAGAAAAGTTTTTGACACATATCAAATACTATTAGAAATTATAGTTCAAAAATGCCATGATGTTTCCAATGGCTACTAGAGCGCATATCATTAAGGGTAAAAATAAGAAATTTAAAGTTGAAAGAGTTTCCAAATGTAAGATGGTGTCATTTTTTAGAACAAATTAAAACTGAAAATATGGCATAGAAAGTGGAGGAAATTAAAGGAATTGAAGTATTATTAAACTAGTTGGTGGATATTCTGCTCATTAATCATTGGTTACTGATTCCAAAAATATTGATATACAAGACAGAGTCTTCACTTGTGTTGGTATAAATATATGTCTTTATCTCCCACTATTTCCAAACATCGATCTATTATATTCATTTCCTTGAGGTTGTTGTTTGTAATAAGAGCATGAATCCTTTGGCAGCCATGTCTGAAGGGGAATGGAGCTCCTTCAGTGGAATCTATTCTACTGATCAGGATGCTAAATTCATGTCACAGTTGCCTGACAACTGTTCACTTACAAATGAGCTACCAATTAGTACTTCATTGACTAGTTATGAATCAACTGTGAGCACTAACAATAGTATAAACTTTTTTTCACAAGGAAGTAGTTACAGTGGTTGTAGTAGTTTTCCATTTTCCCCTCTGCCGAGTCATGAAAGCAGCTACTACCCGAGTCATTTTCGATCAAATGTGATGATAAGAAACGATAGTTCAATAATAATGGATCGATATGGCATGGACGTGGAAGGTGAAAACATAATTAGTTCACCCTCGCTTACTAATTACAATGCAATGATTGAAGTGGATGATTTCCTTATTAACCAAGATATGAGCAATGATAGCATGGAGTCTGGTGAAAACATGCCTATAGAAGACAAGGTGGATAGTCCACCAGACAGCTCTAAGAAAAGATCCCGGCGGCTGCTTGGGGATGTGAGTATTACTTTAAGTATCATTTTTTTTTGATTTTCTTATATATTGTCAGAATGGGGTTCATTCTTGATTACATATTTACATTTCTCTAATTAATATAGGCGATCCAAAATAACAAGAGAAGCGTAAAGCTGAAGAAGACTAGCTGTGAGATGGATGAGGAAAACAAGACAGCGATTCTGAGACAGAACTCTATGATCAGTTGCTGCTCAGAAGATGAATCTGTTAATGTTTCTCACGAGTTAACCCGAAAAACCAGAGCCAGCAGGGGTTCAGCAACTGAACCCCAGAGCTTGTATGCCAGGGTATATATGTATTTTCCTTTTTTTTTATGTAATTATCAGATGTTACTTGGTTTCGAGATCTGCTAGTATATGTATGTCAAAAGGATCGTCCCTTATTTCCCATCTTACAGAAACGAAGAGAGAGGATTAATGAGAGGCTGAGAATCTTGCAGAATCTCGTCCCTAATGGAACAAAGGTAAGTGTAGCCATATATTTAAACTGCATGCATTTGTGATTATGAAATGATCATCTGCTGAGATAACTTGAACTTAAATATTCGATTGACAGGTTCATATTAGCACCATGCTTGAAGAGGCTGTCCAGTATGTCAAATTCTTGCAACTCCAGATCAAGGTAACATTTATTTTCCCTTAACTAAATGTGAAAATGCATTGGGATTAAACAAGATGATAGAGAGATATCTATAGCTTGATAGTCTCATCCAGGGACGACAAACGGGCGGGTTGGGTCGAATATGGACGGGTCGAAAATGGGTTAGGCAAAAACAGATAAAATATCTGATCCGTCTCATATTTAATACGGATAAAAAATAGATTAACCGACGGATAATATAATCTACGGGCTTTTGAATGGTCATTTCTTGAAGGTAATCTCTGCAAAGGTTGGATCACTCTTTGCTTTGCTGTTATAACGATTTTAAAATTAAATTAATATCGTTATTTCATGATCAACATTTAATTACTACACCTGATAATTAGTTTTTATTTTATATTAATATCCACATGTTTCTTCAACTATAATGATGTATTTAATAATTTATTATTTACATAAACAATATTAATTTTTTAATCAAAGCTATTACAGAGTATAACTTCTTGCTACCTTTAAATTTTAAGCTCGTCACTTGAAATATTGGTTGTCCTATATGGAATAGACACGTGTCCAGAGACTAGTAATATAGATAAGTAATACTTTAACTTGTTAAGTAACATTTCCCTTTTAAATTCAGGTGCAAAGCCACATTAATACATATTATTAAAATGTAATGCCACAAAAATGTACGGGACATTTTCTAATTTTAATTTTTCATTCAAATAAATCAAACAATTATGAAAAAGAAGAAAGATTCCGTCATAAAAAATTACATCCAGTTAAGAGCTAGACTTTAGCTTATGACAAAAAAGAAAAAAGAAGAAGAGAAAAGAAAAGAAAAAACAAAGAAAAACAAGAAAGAAACAAAACCTTGACTTTTGCCTTTTAATTTGCAATCTCAATAGTAAAGGGGTGTAAGATGGCAAATCTGCAAAAGGATCAATTCCAGACTTGGTTTGAATAAACGCCGCTTATTTTAGTTTACATTCAAACCAAAGTAAACCGTAGTTTCACAAAAATGGAGACGAACCGGGATAACGTCCGATCTTGTTTCTGGATTGAGTAGAAAAGGGATATATGAAGTTCGTTCACCATGTCTGTACCTACTGGATCATTAATGGGTGAAGTCCATTTTTATCCCGCGGGTTGTCCCTTTTCTTGAGCGGATTAAATGGGTTGACCCATATTTAACCTGTTTTTAGTGTCGGGTATCCAACCTATTTTCGAGCAGATAAAATAGGTGGATACCAAAATTTTATCCATTTTGCATTGTGTGCGGATAAAATAGGTTGAGAGTCACTCTCATCGTATACACGTGCACAATGCAAAAGGAGACATAAGAATCTACAGCTTTATTGTCCATCATCATATGGTTTGAAGGGAGTGGTATAAAGGAAATGTATTATAGTAAGGTGGTTTGTGATAACTGTATGCATTAGTTTAATAACGCCATGAGTGGCTATGAAAAAAGATTAATGTGATGCCTTTTTTTTCGGGGGGCGTCTATAGCTCTTGGGGTCTGATGATCTATGGATGTATGCTCCCATTGCATACAACGGAATGGACATTGGGCTTGATCTCATGAAGATGGACACTCCAAAATCATAATGTTGAAAAATTAAAGCTCCACACATGCATGACGTACGATACTAGATTTCTATATGAGTAAATTGAGAGCATTATCATGCAACGCAAGGAGAAAGAAATTATTGTCATAAATGGTGCTGAATCAAGACTCATCTAATTGTATATGGGACTGATTATTATCTTATCCATGAGGAGTAATGATTCTTCTGATTGAATATTCAAATGTAGAAATAAGCTGCCACCTCAACATGATGAAGGAAATTTAGGTGCTTGTAGCATTTTCTCATCGTTACCTAAGGTGTTAATATAATATACAAAGCTGAATTAAAAGAAACCATCTATAATTATGATTGATTTCTAATTTGTTGGTCTATCAATTATGAGACTGATTGTTTCTACTTTATTCTTGCAATGTAAAATATACTTCAGATCAGGCAAAGTTAAGCGTGAAGTGCAAATAATCTTGGAGAATTCAGTCTTGCACATTTACTTGGAATTGTATATTTCAGACGACATTGTATATTTTCACCCTCATTTTTTATATTTACCAAGCACTTTGCATTTATATCTGAATGTCAATATACCGTCATCAGGTCTGATTGATATCATTACTAGGCAATTTAAGTGGAATTACAACTTCCAAAAGCCATAGCAGTTCTCTCAACATGCTTCAGTAAGATCCCATATATTTTGTTTCTCACCCTTTGACAAACTTCAATTTCTGAATCATCCAAGTTGCCCCCATCCTTTTGAGCATTCGCCTCCTTATTGATTATCACATCTAACCAATCGTTGACTCTCTTCACCTTGTACATCATTCCTGCTATTTGGCTATCTAATACCATTGAAGAGGCTTTTCTTTCAACCTCATCTAGGTATTTCTCTACATATCCCAAAAACAATTTTCTACACTCGTCCTGCAACGATGAAGCTAGGACAGTGGCTGCAGGTGTTGTGCTTCCCCTAGTCCATTGATCAGGTTGCTCATCTTTTTCAGATGACAGTAAGAAAGGAATCTCATCGGTACTGTTCCTATTCGATTTAATGATATATGACCCTTTCGGTTTGGTACTTATTCGACTTGATGTGCTTGTCTTCTTCGACGTATTGGTGACAGCCATAGTGTTATTAAGGATTGGATTGAGGGCAGTGGAGCATGGTGTAAGATCAAGAGCCACAGCAGATTTTATCCACGTGGATGCATTTCTCTTTCTCTCAACTGCAATAGTCAATGCTTCCTTAACTGAATTGGTGTCAGCTTCTCCTGAAGTTCTAAGTGGACTTATGTTTGTCAGTGACTGCAATACCAATCTTGTCTGAGCCATGTCATCTTGAAGATCAAAAAATTTATCAACATGAGGCTGGAGATCATCTTCTTCAGCTAAATGGAACTCTGAAAATTTGCTGGAGAATGAAACATGCCTTAGTCACCATCCAAAATTAAGGAAGATTGGTATGCGAAAAGTAACACAAGTAATGTGCACTAAACAATAAGCCGATATAGTATATTAAGTTTGTAATGGCAAAATAACATAACGACTTGTAATGGAAAACAGAAGCAATGCACTCACGCGAATTTCAGCTCATGAGCAGGAAGATTAACTGTCCCAATACCTTTCTTTCGTACGTTGTTTTGATAGTGACATCTAATAGTTTTGCGGACATTCTCACCACCATTATGTCTAATGTCATATGCTCTTAAATTATTTAATCTCTGGCATGGCAACTGCCAATAAAGTCCCTATATTGTCTTTGGGTAGTCAGTCGTGACTTAAATTAGCATTTCAGTGAACTCCTTCAGTTAACTCTTTTTTTTCACCAGGTGCTACCTCTACCTCTACCTTGTGTGTTTCCCTATTTAGAAAATGGTAAAATGGTACATTTCATGATCTTTACAAGTAAAAAACCAGGTTGATCTCTACTGATGCAGGAAGATGAACTGTTCTTCCGATAATGATCACTTGCCAATGATGTAGGTCTAATTACTAGCATAGGTTTCATGTCGACGTAGATGTCTATATTAATTCTCAACATGTGAAAAATGTGCTATGGATCATTAAAAGACAACCCATGAATATTTACAGATGATAAGAAGTAAATCCATTATCAAGATTGTAACTTGAAACTAGTTGCTAGTTCTTTTAGCTTCACCTAGACAGTTTTCTAGAGTTCAAGATCCTACTTTTCTATTATTACTACCTGAGCCTACATATACGCCATCTTAACTTAAAGCAACAGGGACTAGACAAAAATCAAGAAGAATGCAAGACAAAATAGAAAATAACTCATGTTGCGTAAAGTAAGATTTGTATGAGAAAGTGCACCTTAAGGAATTTAGCAACCTCTCAGCCGCACAAGCTTCTTGCAAAGCATCAGTAGCTGCAACAAGAGCAATGTCTCTTTGCTTTACAGCCTCCTGATGTACCAATCACAAATGTCAGTAAATCACCCAACTATATATTCATGCAAGTATTACTATGAAAGTAACTTACTACCTTTCCAAGCTTCACCAAGCTCGAGGGGAGTGAGTCCCATGATATACCAGTTTCTGCCCCTCGTCTGTCATTGGCTAAACTTGAATTTATCTTGGAGAAACAAGTTTTGCTCTTAGTGGAACTCTTCATTTTCTTTGCAGAACCAACTTCTCTTCTTCTTGGTATTGAACTTGAATTTTCATCCGAGCTATCATACCTTACAGAACGAACTGGTGAAACCTGTCTATATAAAGTGAATAAGGATGAACTTGAAGGACAAACCACAAAAAGAATAGTATGCCAAAGTCCTTAAGCAAGGCGATATTAGCCAATGACGAATAATAAAGACAAAGGAGAAGTATAGCCACATCAATTATGTAAAGAAAATGTATCTGCTTGGACACTAATCACTGGCTATTACTCCAAATAGGTGCAGACATCATTTACAACTTATGCAGTACTAAATTCTAATACCAAGCGTTGACTCAATAAACCAAACGAAGTTGCTAAAACCTTATCAACATGGCAGCTTTTCTTATCACATCTACATATTGGTACTTGACTTAGGTTTTAGTTGCATAAAAAAACTGTACAGAAACCATCTATCACAATGGATATGGAGTTTTCTTTTATTAACATTTTATGTGGCAACATTGATAGTAACCAAACTTAGCCAGGCTTATGGATAAGCCAAAAGTTACTAGCAAAATCATGCTACTTTTTTATCAAAAACTTATGCTCCATTGAAGTACAATCGTCTATACCGACCAGTAGATTTTCGGACTTCATATTATAGCAACAATAAACATGAAGGAAAGTAAATTGACAGTCAGACAGCAGCACTCACAGTTGCACTACGACTACGAGGCGGTCTGATATCGTGTTTAACAACTGAAGAATCAAAGATTTCTTTAATTCCCAAAATCTCTGACTCGTTCCAACTTTTTCTCTTGGAGTTATGAGACGAAAATGAGATTGATGACAATATGCTTTCTGTATCACTATCAATATCAAAAGACCTTTTCCTAGTCTTTTGTAGTTCCCGAAAAAGATGAGAGTTTCTCCTCTCAATGTCGGATCTTTTAGGAGTGCAATCCAGGGCCATCACCTTCTCGCCTGGACGGAGTTTTGAAGCACTCAAAGATGGAAACTTGCCTTTAGACGATTTTCCCTCCAAATCATCATTTTTCTTTTTCAACCCCTCAGGATCGGATAATCCGCGAGATAACTTTCTTGAATTGGATGGAATAATCCTGTTCTCAGAAATGACACCCTTTTCAACAATGCAATCAGAATCAAATGCCTCAAGAACCTTCATAAAATTTGAAACAGAAACAATATCTTGAGGGGTTCCAACACATGGACGCCTACCGGGGAGAGGCGTTACGCCTCTGAGTAATGGGAAAGGGTGAGCATCCTCCAATTTCTGCACATATATGAATTGCCCCAGTCTCAATTTATTTGCAAGAATCATCTCATTTTGCTCTTCAGGCAAAGAAACGTACATTGCATGTGAAATATCTGAAACTTTAAGGTAAAATCCTCTGTTAGGCCAAAGATGATCACCTTCTTCAAGAACAGGAATTATACTTCTGATTTGCAACAAGTTGGGTTTTCGATCATCCTCTGAGGGATTACCACCCATTTTCATATCTTCAAGTAACCTTACAAGAACCCCGGATTTCAAAGACGCCATGATTTTCATGGATAGAGATTGACTCACCCCCACTATCAAGATCAGTAAGCAAAATTGAATTTGTGTTACAATAAGGGTACATAAAAGATAAAAGAAGGACATTCAGATGAAAGTCCAAAACTATATCACATGAAAGAGGGCATAATGGATAGACCTATTGATCCAAATAACAAGGGTTCAGGAAATTCAGGTATAAATCCGAATTTGGAGGTCTTTGTGCTGACTGTCTTTCCTGGATAAAGTTTGTGAAGAAAGTGCGTCAGCTTGACCCCAAAGAGGGGAATTAGTTGTTGAAGAAAAGAATGAATATGATGAATTGGATGAATGAAAGAGATGGGCATGGAAAGCGGGAGCTCGAGAGGTAGTTAAAACGGTTAGAGGGGTCCAATATTGTTTTTTCCCCATTCTCACTATTAGATTCTTGGATAATTAAGGTCTTAGAGCCCCCTTTGGTGTTGAAAACAACTTTTAAGTGTTGGAAACTGATTTAATAAATAAGCAGTTACGTATTTGTATACAAGTGCTGAAATTGATAATAAGTTGTTGCAATATTTGATAAAAAAGTGCGAATAAGCTCTTTTTCTGTTAAAATGACTTAAATAACCTTAGAACTGTTTACGTATAAGGGTGTAATTTCTTCAAAATTTAGATTCGAGATCGATTCAAATACAATATATTTTGTTTGTCATTTTATTTTAAATATAACTGTGATTAGATAAGATAACTTTTATGATAAGCATATAATAATAAGTTATATGATAATAATTAATAAATTGACAAAAATAAATTCAATAAACAAATAAACCTAATAGGACAAAATATTTGAAGAGAAAAAACAAACGCTTAATCCGTACTTTATAGGATTCATCATGGAGGATACTAGTGTTTACATAAATACAAATATGCAAAGAAATAAAGAATTTGATTACCTCAAATATTAGTGAGAATTGCAGACTTGAAGAGGCAAAAGATTTAGGTTTGAATCAATACGTGAGGCAGTGAAGAAATAGGTTTGCAGTGAAGAAATAGGTTTGACGTAGGGATACTTGAGTTTTGTTTTAAAAAGGAATATTTTAGAGATAAAATAGTAAAAATTTTGGTCAAACTTAAAGTGCTTATAAGCTAAAAAATCATAAGTTGGGGGTGTTAGCTTATCTTTTGGCTTATAAACAATTGGCTTACAAGTACTTTTAACTTTACCAAACACGTAGATAAGCCGAAAAGTACTTATAAGCTTAGCCAAACACCCTCTAGTATTTTTTATTAATTTTTGATTGACGACAAGAATATATTATTGACAGATTAGGGTCTGCTCCAGTAGTATGGCGTTCTCCTCAATTGAGTTCTCGTGTCATGTGTACAAGGGAGAAATTTAAAGGTTTGGATTCATTTCCCTTTCATACTCTAATTTTATTTTCTATTATTTTCAATCAAAAATAATATTTTTTAGAAAAGGAAAAATGACAAATCTACCCTTTTCCTTTTAGATATTACTAGTTTCAGAATACGCGCGTTGCGCTTATACCCCGATTATTAAAACATGTGTTTGGATAATTGAAGATTTCTTAATGAATCAAGACTATATAAAAAGAAAATTGTAACTTTTTTGGCTATTGCAGAAAAAAAATACTCGACTCAATAAAGTAAATTTTTAGTAGATTAAGACAATTATATCAAAGTAGGTTTAATGTAAATACATTTTTCAACTCAAGTAGAATATTTATTAGTTTCTGCATAAACATAATCACCTCCCGGCCAAAATCTTGTATGATTTAACTGGATTATGTTTTTAATTTTTATTTGCTTGAATGGTAAAATAAAAGTTTATTATATTTATTTGAGCATCAAATTTTTCAGGAGTGAAGAAAATGAAATTTTTTGACTTAAAGGAGGCTAGAGTTGACCATGATCAATATTTATAGTAAACGAACTCGGATCGGTATTTTGACGATTTTTGAAAGTTCGTATGATATTTTTAGACTTGTACGCATGTCTGGTTGGGGTCCCAGGTGACTCGAGCGTATTTCGGCGCATTATGTAAAAAAATTGGAAAATTTGGTTTAAACTTAAAAATCTTGAGTTTTGATAATCAATTCTTGTTGAGTGATATTATTTTGGTGATTTGAGTGAGCGAGCAAGTTTGTAGGATGTTATTACTCGTGTGTGTATGCTTGGTTTGGAGCCCGAGAGGCTCGGATGAGTTGTGGAAAAGAAATGATAGTTGGTGTAGCATCTGGTGCAGCTGGGCTGCAAGTCTCGCAAATACGAAGACCTGCTCGCAAATGCAATCTTCGCTTTTGCAAAACTTGGGCTAGGGCTTATGACCTCGCAAATGTGAAGTCTGGATTGCATGTGCAAGAGAAGAGATTTCCGTTTTTGCGATATATTTGTCGCTTTTGCGACTTGGGGGGGGAGGGGGGGGGGGGCAGAATGGGAGGCTTCATAAATGCGAAGCCAGGACCGCATTTGCGATAGGAGGGACTTCGCAAATGCGAGGTTTTTGGTCGCAAATGCGACATTAATGGGTTAGAAAGTTGTTCGCATTTGCAGACAATGGTTCGCATTTGCGAGCATCTCAATTGCAAACTAAAGTTTCCAATTGCGATGTCTACAGCTAAGTAAAAGAGGGGAAATCATTTTACACTATTTCTCAACCTTAAACACTCTAGAGGCGAATTTTGAAGAACTTGTTCTTCCCAAATTCATTGGTAAGCATATTTAAGTAGTTTTCAATCAATTTCAATTACATTTTCATGAATTTTAACATCAGATATGAATATCAAAGTAGAAATTGGGGGTTTTGGGTAGAATTTGAAAATTTTGTAAAATAGAGATTTAGACCTCAAATTGAGGTTGGATTTCGAAACAAATCACATAACCTGGCTCGGGGGTGAATGGGTAATTAAATTTTGGACCGAGTCTCGAATTTTGATCAAGCAGGCTCGGGATTGACTTTTGGTGACGACTTTTGGTATTTTGGCCAAGATTGAACCTTTATTGATTGAGGATATTTCCTTTAGCATTATTTGACTTTGTTAGACATTATATGGCTAAGTTTTGATCATTTTGAGGATTATTTCTATGGAAGACGGTATTGGATTGTGAAAATTATTTTGGAATGAGGTAAGTGTCTTGTCTAACTTTGTTGAGGGAATTTTCCTACTAATTAATATTATTTGCTACATGCGGGGGTGATGCATATACGAGGTGACGAGCGTATATGCACGTGCCAAGATTTCCATGCGCGGGAGGGGGGAATTATATGCTTCTTTGTGCCTTTGTTGAACTTGATGGTCCATTAATCTATGCTTCACTTAACTCTATAATTAATAAACTCAATTATCTGTGTCAGAAATCATGTTAGAACATAGGATATCTTAAAGAGAAAATGCATAAAGACCCCATTCAACTTGTCCTGGAAAATCATTTACACACCTAAACTTTACGGGTGTCCTATTACCACCCTATCCTTATCCAAGATGAATTTATTTAACCCCTAAAATGCCACAACCAAATTCTACCCAAGTAGTGTTTACACGCGCTGACATGTGGCATTTTCGCAGGTTTTTTCATTTTTTTTCTTTCTTTGACTGGAATAATCGTCCCCCTCCCCCAATCGAACCTTTCATTCTCTCATTAAAAATATTCTAAACATTTTTATCAACTTTTCCAGCTTGCCTAAGAAATTTCAGTCACATTTGTCGGATCTCCATGGGCAACCAAATTACAACTAAAGAAGTGACTTTTTCAGAAAAATTTTTTTTGATGGAACCTTTGCAAGAGAAACTAGCTGACTATATTGACAAGAAAATGATCTTTCTTTTTGGGGTTTTCTCGTCAATTTTCTTATTCCATCTTGGTCAAAAGATAAATATATAAAGTAAAGTTAATGTATAGAGCACAACCGCAAAGCAAGAGGAAGCTACGAAAGATCCAATTAAGTATTGGGTTTTCGTTTTCACCTTGGTTGTTTGCTCCGGCCAAGCTGTGAAGAACAATTGGAGGGTGGAGGAGATGATAAAATAGGTGTAGAAAGAGCTATCAATCTTTAATTTTTGTTCTGTTACGATTATGATTGTATGGTGCTGCTCTCTTGTGACAATAGAGGAAAGAGAAAGAAGAAAAGGAAAGAGGAAGGAGAAGAAAAGAAAACAGGAAAATGAAAATAAAAAAGGTTAGTATTACATCAAATACAACTAACTAAGTGTAATTAAATGTAACAACCAATGGAAAATTATTATCTATAAAATTTAAGTAGCTTTTTATATTTTCTCAGCCTTCCACGCGCTTTGAGTAAGGTGAAATTAGTTTCTCTGCCACCTCACCTTTGAAGGAGGTATTAATTTCACTTTGAACAAGAATAGGGTGGTACTAGGACACCCCTAAAGTTTAGGTGTGTAGTAATTTTCCAGGACAAGTTGAATGGGGTCTTTATGCATTTTCTATCTTAAAAAGGATTTAATGTGTCGTTTTCTAGATTCGTTTGCATACTTAACTTGATCGTAATATCGGGAATATATTTCTATACCTGATATTGTCATGTTACCCAAGCTTATTTATTTGTATTAAGAGATGATGATTGGAGCCATAGGGCCATGTTTAGCACAATAAGTATTTCCGTGCGGTTGATTGATGTTGGCACCATGAGTATTTTTGTGCGGTTGATATGATGTTGGCACCATGAGTATTTTCATGCTTGATATGATGTGGGCACGATGAGCATTTTCGTGCGGTTTGAAATGGGATTATTTTGTTGATTATTATGGTGCACAAAAGAAAGGATGTTAGATTTATGGTTATGATTACTTATTCATTAAGCACTTACAGTCCTTTACTTTGGTTTTCATTAGTGTTTGTGGTTTCGTATGATACCTCCATTTGGGTTCCTTATGTAGTTATCATTGTGTTTTCTCTTTGGCCCGTATTGTATAGCTATGTCTTTACCTTGTGTATTACTATTACACTTGGGCTTTCACTTGAATTACTTCTATTGCATGTCATCTTCGAATTCATGTCTTTACATGTTATTAGCCCATACATGTTACACGCCTCTAGTTGTCACGTGATTTACTTGTTAAATGCCTTAACTTGCTACATGTTTTCACTCATTACATGCTGATGTTCTAAACGTCAATACCACACAAGAGAAGGGGTGATTTGTGTGGTACCCAATTTTCGCTCTAGAAGAACCTGGTTCTTCTAGGTGTACTTACTACTACTGTTTGCGGAATTAAGAGTACATAAAATAAAGAACACATAGATTTTTACGTGGAAAACACCTGGCTCAAAAGGTAA